TTTTCGCAGCCTGCCTCAGTCTTCGATAGTCTGCGCGGCTTTTGGCATCCGAGGCGACGATCCAGCCCGTATAGTATTCGATCACAGAAATGCCACGAGGTACGAGTGGCTAAGTTATACGGCGATCCACTCCAACCGTCGTCTTTTCTCATGCCGGTTTTGGAACTACAGCGACAGAGTTGCCACTCGTTGTATAAATTGATATATCGTTGTATTCGACGATTTCGACGCATGATACGAGATTCAGAGGAGGGACTCGTAAGATGGATTGATTTTGCAATGCTCACGCCATGAGGCCAAGGGAAGCCTCAGGGCAGATAGCTAGAATTTATCGAACACAGCATTTTGGCCCCTTAGATCGTATCTGAATGAATGACCACTGAGGCTATGGAAAAAACTTTTGAGGCTGTTTCCATCTCAACAGTATAGAAATGCAGTGATGGACTGTGTAATGAAGTGAATATTTTGATGCTCACAAACTACATCGTTCACATCTTTGGAACTCATCCTTTACATGGAAGATACCATCGTGTTTCGTCGTTTATGACTTTTGCTGAAGCAGGTGGTAAGGAGGATTGTGTTTGCCCTTCCGATGGCATTGCGTCGATGACAGATCATCTGCAAATTAGCCATCGTTTAATTTCACGAGTTAAAACAACTGTCACGTCTTTCACGATCACATGATTGTTCAATTTAGTTGTGGTCTTCAGTGAGTCCGTACCAGCTACTCCATGTAAAACGTCTCAATGATGCTTTACATTGGAAATACACGCAGTATGCGCAGTTCAACGAGGACGACTCGATGATCATGGTGTCCGGTGTACACTTCGGCCAGAACAACACTACTGGTGAGATTGCGGTGTTCGAAATCGATTGTAAGTTGACTGATGACGTGGTTCGTTATACCGCTGCCATGCTTATTGCTCCTTTCAGTAGCAGCCGGACTATTGTTCCGCTCACGAGCCATCAACAAGCCTTACGACGTGTTCGGTTGCTGGTTCGACAACCAGCACCTGTTATGTGGAGAGCTCAGCTGGTGGATGAACGAAATGGCCTCGTCGTCAGATATCTACATCTGCTGCGCCGATCCGGACACAGTTTCGCCGAATACGCCGGTGATCATGCCACTGTTCAGGTAAATACCTCCTGTCTGCCGGTGCTCTCTCCGATAGTGTTACAATCAATGTAGCTGAACTAGCGGTTTAATATTCGCAATTTAATTTATGAACAAAAGTACTAGTAATATTCTGTGTGCTAGTAAAAGCCAGATTTGGATAACCTAGGGGGGATGTTCTTGTGCTTCAAGGAGACCCTTCACCAAGCCGCTGTACCATGATATGTGGCGTTTTGGCACAGATGTTTTAGAGGTGTGCTTCGAACACAGGATATGTGATGAACGGTCCCATTCTTGCTCGATAGCAGACTTTGCATTATTCATGAGATTCTTCGAGCAAAGAATTTGCCAAAAATTTCTTCAGAATTTAGTAGTTCAGTCGGTAGAGCGTCGAATACAGAACAAATAGGTTCCGTTTTCAAGGCACGGTCGTAGTCTGGGTTACTGGTCGTTCTTTCTTCTTATGTTGATAAGCGGGTGCCACGCAGTGAGAAGGAAACAGGAGACAACACGCTATGTTCATCTCGTGGTTTTGTACCTCGCCTTTAAAAACAAGGCACTCTTGATTGATGGCATAGAAACGGAGATCACACCGCACCATCAATTTCAGGAAATGAAATAAGACCGAAAGAGCAACGGTTGCAAAGTTTTCTTCCCTTTCCTTTCCCCATGATGTGATGGCACGGTATGATAAGACTGTGCGATTGCGCCGAAAGAGTAACGAAATTAATATATGCAGAAATGAATCTCCTATGACTTCTCTGGAATCCTACCGCACAGTTCGAGGGGTTATCGTTCACCTGGCAGAACCCTAATTCCTCGTTCGTGCGGAAACCTTACTTATTGACCTTCTTACTTCTTCTCACTGGCCGACATTCTCAGCAGGTGTTCTGCCTTACAGTCGTGGCGTGGTAGATGGGTGGTGGAGGGGTGAGCGCATTCGCATCAGTCGCACTACCAATTATTAAATAAGTTCTCGGATTGCAGACTGAGGTCGTGATGAGGCGAATCATAATTGAGAGAATACTCGGCATCGTCAATAAGTCAAACTGTCTGAACTGGTAAGGTAGTGATAGGTAATTTGAGGGCGCGTTTTCACTGTATCACTGAGTTTGACCTCGAACTCCGGAGGCATCAACTGCAACTCTAGAGTTCCTAGGATGGGCACCGTTTACGTAAACTGGTAATTCCCAATAGCGGGCAAATCACCCGCCCTTGCTTCTTTGCGACCAGCCGAAAAACGGTCGTTGTACCAAGTCGTTGACTTGCGAACGACAGGGCAGAATGGTAGCGTGGTCATATCGGAAAGAGTGATTGGTGCAGCCATGCTGTCTGTTCGGAGCAGTTCGTCTCGATTCAGCTGATGATTAACTAGACAATATGATAACCAGCAGAAGATGTAACCCGTGGTTGTTTTGATGCTATTGGTAATGTGGAAACTTTAACCCAATGACCTTACGAATTTGACTGCTTCCTCATGCTCATCGCAAGCGTCCGACAGTAGAAGTTTCCTCGAGGAAGCGAAAGGTCGTTTTTCCGGTTCGCTGACATTTTGGAACAGCAACGTTTATCGTTAAGGAGGTCTGCAATAAATTGACCGATATCTTGGTTCAGGGTATATTTGCCGGGTGAAGTCGTTTGTTTCATACTGTGAGACGCTGTTGTTTGCTAATCGACATCTTAGGCTAGCAGAACTTGAGTAATAAGATATCCAAGATTTTTATTCCTCGCCGTTAGAAATGGTACTTCATACTGCTATTAGGCAACCTGCACGTCTGCGGTGAAGGCAATATGTCTTCTTACGCACCTACTCCTCGTAGATGACGTGGTGGCGCAGTGCCTAAGAGGTCTGCTTCGAATTCCAGAGATGCCGGGTTCGATTCCGACGAACGGTGATCCTTGTTTTAACCGCGAATTCCCTTAGGCAAAATTCTTGCCACACGTTGCTTCTGATTGGCTTGCTCGGTCGATGGATCGTCGGACTCAGAATCAAGAGGCCCCGGGTTCGACGCCCGGTCAGGGTCATTCGCGTTTCATTCTTCCGAGGTTGATATGTGACTTTGACGTTGTGGGGAAAACAGGAGACTACGCACTATGCTTGCAACATACTGCTGTCGACTGTGCTTTGAAAGAAGGCACTTCTGACTGATAGTATGGAAATAAAGCTCACCACCCCACTGTTATAGTTATGATATGAAGGACTTCAGAATGGCTCTATCATGTAAGCGAAATGATGACTGACATTCCTCAGTTGTAAACTTATCTTTCATTTTTTTTCCTTCCTCAAAGAGGCGTTGCAGCACGTTTTGTATTCTCCTCTAATGCTTCTCTGGCCGGTGCGAGGTTACCGACCGAGAAATGGTTTTGATAATTTTGTTAATAATGCGCCGGTCCCTGAATTTTTTTCACAGTCGTCTTAGAGGAATGATCGTTAACACCTGCTGTTTCGCAACGGGGTAATGCCATCGCACTTTGAAGATACTTCGCACACAGTATTGGTGCAAGCTGTCTAGATGAAACCCATAACGCTTCAGGACAGCAGAGGTTTCGAGACTGTGCATGAGCTCCTTATAATATTCTTAGGCAATACTGAATAATTCAGTTTACAGAATAATGATCTTCGTGACAGTTTTTAATGATCGATCCTTGCATGTCATGCAGCTTACCAAGGTT